GTTTAAGTATATATGCACTTATACTTGTTATTGTTGGAACATTAGGCAATTTATTCACAATAGTTATTTTATGTCGAAGAAATTTAAGACGTTATGTTACAATGAGATATTTAATTGCTGTTAGTATATGTGATATTGTATCATTATATGGATGGAATTTAAATAATTTTTATAAATTTACAATTAGTTCAAATTTTACTAATATAGAAGATCTTTCTATAGTACATTGTCGAATTATTTCATATATGACATTTGTTGGTTTACAATTATCAAGTTGGTGTCTAACAGCTGTTAGTCTTGGTAAGTTTTCTAGTGTTTAATAAAAAAAAAAGTCAATGAAAATTAATGATCTTTTCACTCTTAACCAATATATGAAATAACTAGTGTTGTCTTAAATTAATAAATTTACTATCAAAAGAAATTCTTTCATTGATTAATTACTTTTGATTTGGAACTATGTACATTATGTAGGTTAAAATTATCTATGAATATTCTGAATAGACTTCCGACAATTAATTTATTGCTGCATAGATACAATATGTATTGCTTCTCAGAACTACTAAGAAAATTAATTTTCAAATTTCAACTTGAAAACTTTCCGTAGAAGTTTTTCAATTTATATTAGTGATATAATTTTGATTCTCATCAAAGCTTATCTCTATGCAAAGCTCGGGAAAAGCATTTTTCAGACGATCACGACAATATTAAGCTAAAAAAGAAACATCGTAGCAATGCAGTATGTCGACAGTAATGAACTAATAGCCCGAAGCCTTTTCAGAATATTCATAGGTCATTAGCGCCTACATGATGAATATAGTTCCGATTGTTCACTCCGGAGACTTCCCACGTCAAATCATCAATCTTCCATTAGTTTTCTTAAAAATTTATTCATATTGTCAATATGTCATATATTTATTTTAATATTATGATACATCTCGTGTCTAACTCGTCTGGTTAAAAATATTAATCATATAACATACATATAATCATAAATGTTTACAGAAAAGTTTACTAGAGAAAATCCAATATCATTTCTTTTTGTATATATATTTCTCTATTACTGTGAACAAAGATAGAGCGACTTTTTACATGAATCAGACATATCTTCATGACATAAAAACAAAGATTAAAGATATTATAAATTGGTGATCACTCTCTCGCAAAAATAGACTCGGTATCGATTACCGATCATTACAAGTGTGTGTCTTATTTATTTGTTTTGCTCGCCTTATCTCATAGTAGACTACATTACATATCATTATTTACTAATAGAATAGTACGACAACTAGTAAGTCTAGTGTCGATATGAATTTCAGAGTTGACTGGTTTTGACTTACTCAGATCGATTTTATCTCTGCTCTATAGGATTTTCATGCATCTAGTTTTAATATTGAATAATGAATAATTTTTATTTTGATATAAATTTTTTTATTCTATTAGATCGTTGTTTAAGTCTATATTTTCTTACATGGAAACAAAATTACGGTAAATTATCTCGTACAAAATATTATATAGCCGCATTGACAATCATCTGTTTACTTTTCAATTCTCATATCCTTTTTCTTAATGGATATGTAGTTAATTCTAATGTTGACACTGTTAAATGTTATGCTAGACGAAACAATCCTAATTATATATATCCACAATGGGAACGTGCTCATCTTATTGCTTATAATTTATGTCCATTTTTTATTATGTGTCTATGTAATACATATATTATTTATATAACTATTCGTTCAGCTCGTATTCGTACATCAGTAACAAAACGAAATCCTCGTCATCGACAATTATCAATTATGTTAATATTAGTAACATTTGTTTTTGTTGTATTAACATTACCATCATGTATATATTATGTATTTTTTCGTCATCAAATGTCATCAATACAACAGACACGTATGTTACGTTATATGATACAAATATGTTTAGGTAGTATTCAATTTACAGCACATGCAATAAATTTTTTTCTTTATTGTTTTTCAACAAAAAATTTTCGAAATGAATTACATGATTTTATAGAAGAAATATTTTTATGTTTAATTAAACCTAAAACATTAACAACAACAACAGTAGTGATAAATTCAACATCAAAAAATACAAATAAAAAATATAGTGGAAGAAAATATGGTATGAATCAAGAAACAACATTAGAAAATCAACAAACTGGACAACAATATGCATTAAAAGATATGCAGACAATATTCATTAATAATGAATGATTTGTATTTTTATTTAATTCATTTTTTTTTAAAGAAAAAAAGCCCATTGTAATAATTGTCACGTTTCTTGTTTATATTAATGACAGAAGTAAAGAAAAAAAAAAAAAGACATTTCACTAAATAAACTGTCGTACGAAAATTGAGTTTTGTCATGTATATATCCATGTCGCACATTTATTTGCATTATTATCAGTTTGTACACACAATGCCAAACGGTAGTGCTTACGGTTTTTGGTTCTAACTATAAAAGATTACAGCGAGTTTTTTTCTGTTCAAATTTTAATTATTTATTAGAAAGAATTTGAACTAATCGAGAAACAAACAGTTTAAAAATATTTTTTTTTTTTACTAATAAACCTTTATCTCATCAATGTCATCTCGATGTATCGTGTTCGACTTAATTCTGTCAATTTTAACTTACACATGGGTACACATAAGATGTTCGCTAAGTTATCTGATGTAATAAAAACGGACAACAACGCATAAGAATTTCCCGTCAAAGTCCAATAAAAAAAATCATATAACTATGGGATTTTTATACTAATTTTCAACAATATTCACATCATTATTCAATAACATCGCCATGATTTGAGCTGAAATTTCTATCTAGTATGAATTTTATATTTATGGTACAAACATGAACATCAATAATTTGATGAAAAATAGCTTTGACTCTTTTACAAATTGCTTCGTTTGTTACCAAACTATTGGAGTACCCTGTATATTTAAATAATATATGGTTAATGACTTCTGTTAAATTTATTTATAACACAAAAAAAAAATATAGATCTAGCATAGCAACATATAATAATTAAACACTAAAAATATGTGAAAGAAGTCAATAAAAGAAAGAAAAAAATTAAAATTTTACAAATAAAGATCCACATAATTATGATGACGAAAATAATTTGTCAGTTGTTAAGTAAATTAATCAGAAAATAATTATGCATTCATGAGAATTTTTTACGTTAGAAGTTAAATGAACCGGTAAGATATGACTATTAATAAGAATTGAAAAATTTAATATTTCATTACACATAATATCCTTTTTTTTTTTGTGCTACGTAAACATACTAACTCGTTGATCGGAGGGAAGTTTCCTGATGTCTTTT